AGCAGGAGGATGCTGCTTTCCTGATATATTTGAAATAAAGTGTTGGTATAAAATTTACTAAGCCCAATAAAATTTTTCTGGCGGTTGGAATTTTTTAGATAGCCATTAACTCTTCCGATATAAAGTGTAATGACTTTTGAACTGAAATTTTGCCACAGTAAACAAGATTGCAACATACATTTTATAACCCGTATATGGAAGGGCTCAAAATAATATAAAAACTTTTTTAAGGATGCATCTCCTGAACCTTCTTGTTTATAATTAATATTTATTTAAGAGATTATACTTTTCGCACATGGTAACTTTTTTTAGATTTAAAGGAATAATTTAAATTAACAATTGCTTGGTTTAAAAATGCATATTTCATCTGCTTCTAATCTTATCTTCTGATTGAAATCCTGTCCCTCATTTTACAGTATCCATTGAGAAATATACACATAAAAGATGCATACTTTATACTTGGCTATGACCTACAGACGAAGAATCTGTGAGGCATCATTCTTATATTTATTTATTCCATTCAGAAGAATCGCAAATATCGTTATTTTGTCTATTTTCGAATAGGTGTAAACGACACTAAGCAAAGGGGCAGTATTAAGCGAATGAGTCTCCTCGAAATGCCTGATGCATCGTTGTCTCTTTCATGCCTATTTTCTAAATTATTGGACCAAGATCATGCTTCAAAAATTGTTAAACCAAATTGTAGAAAGACATGAAAATGTATTATGTACTTTAATGTCTCTAGACAACTTAATAGTTTAAATATATAGTCTTACGTAAGTGTAGCTATGCCAAGTTAAACCACTTCATTTTTTTTGGACAATCTAGTGTCTACTTTTTTGAAAGCAAAACTTTCCATTTCACTATTTTAGATTCTGACTGGTTTAGAAGTGTCTGAGCTGAAATAGTCCTGAATTTTTATTACTTTATTTTGTTTTTCTGTGTAAAATCTTCTACAAATGGTAATACAGAGCAAGTAAATAATGATTAATAAAACCCAAGCCTTCTATTACTGTTTTATCTTATTCAGTTTCTCATTTTTTTGAATTAGAAATAAATAATGACATTTAATATTTTATCTCAGGTACCATCTTCGAGCTACTCTCTCCCTTGCTATATTTTACCCACAGTTCTAATTACATTCTGCATTTTATATATCGTCAGGTAATGATGGTTAATGGCGATCATCGTATTGGAATTTTTGCGAAACGTGCCATCCAGCCAGGTGAGGAGCTCTTCTTCGACTACCGTTATGGGCCAACAGAACAGCTCAAGTATGTTGGCATCGAGCGCGACACAGATGTTGTATCAATGGCTTTGTCCACTGCAGCCACAACGCACCGTAATTTAGCCACTGATGCTCTTCTGCCGCCAGGGCTGGCGGCATCCCTTCGTGAAGCTGCCACTGCGGTGACATCCGATGGAACTGGTGCATACTTGGAATCTAAAACCGGTGCTCCGGAGACTATGGCTACAGGGCAGGCCGCTTTCTTGGTTAATGGAATCACAGATAGTTGGTAAATTGTCAAACAAATGCTCTTTTAAATTGCTGCATTAAGATACTTAGAAAAACTATATAAATAAAATGCATAACTAGGCGCTATAAGTTTTTTATTTTATAACTGAAGGGTTATTGAACTAACTTATTATATATAATAAATCCATCAGTAACTTCCCTGCCAGCATTTCTGCTTACTTTGAGCGTATTGATTTCAATCTAAGCTATATTTCACATGTTCTTTTATGCCAAATGTCAGGAAAAAACCCTTGTGAGCAATCATTATGCCATTATGCTCAACAGATGAATAGTATAGTGGTCTAAATGCTATTTTTGAAGATACTAGTTGGCTAATTATCTAAGAATGGAGTTACATGATAGGTCGCTTGGTATTTTATAGGCAGAAATGCCTTTCATCAGAATATATTTTTATTAGGTGGATCAAAATTATATTTATTTCTAAAGATCAAACTCCCTATTTTTATTCGTCGTGTTTAGCCCTACGTACTCTCTCATAATCCCTGAGATGTATATC